GTAGCTCGCCTCCTCGTCAAAGTCTCTAGGTAATCAACAGCGCCGCAGCGAGGGCCGTAATGTTGGGTTCACGAGACAGACACCCAATAAATTGTCCTCAGTCGTCATTCCCGAATGGCCTAAGATATCTTTGTGATGTTGACGCGGCGAATGCAGACTAGCATCTGAGACGAACCTTGCACACCTCGCGCAAAGGATAGTCCTTAGGCAATGGTCCTTAAATACTTTCGGTTCCATGTCATTTTCTGTGTACGCAGCCCATCGTACATATAAACTTAATGAATGGATACCCGACACGCGGATCTTTTGCTATTTATGATGTTACGTCGTACCTAGATGCTATTTTAAAACGGAGCCCAGACAACTGCACTCATTCTGCATACGACGAGGCACTTACTCTATCCATTTGGCCACGGTCTCGCACCCAATAAATTAAAGGTCTACGCAAGATTTCAGAGGCGCTGCCAAACAGGGACATTGGAAACTCTTTATCCTAACCGCGTGTGGTTAAGCTTGTACAAGAGTTCGATATGTAAAGATGAAAGCGGTCGACCGCACATTCAAAAAGACGCTTTTACTAGTTCCAGATACTTACAGGGACTGTGAGAATGTGATTAATTAGCTAGATCTGCAATGTCGTCCGATCTACATGCGGCAACGTTTGACACCTGTTGCAGACCCCACACCTTGCAAGCTCGTCTCCGGCTTTCCCATCGCTATTATTCTGTTAACCCATCGTACGATACTAGCCGACACCTGTGATGGTTCTTTTACTTTAAATCATTGTACTAAACTCATAAGAAAGACGGGCTTAAGATGACGGCAAAGAATCTGCTAACTACCAATTACAACCAGTCATAAGATACAATGACAACAGAACGATGGTTAGACTGTTCGACGTCCTTTGAATATAAAGATGTTATCACGAAAATCTAATTCCTCATAATAGCATGTATAACCCAATGCAGTGAGCTTAACCATGTGCTATCCTGTACGAAATGAGAGCTAACTGCACGGGGAATGTCAATAGACAAAAAACAAACGTCATCTCTGATGTACACGACACCAGGCTACAGCTATGCAAAACTATTATAGACTGCTCAATTGAGGACAGACGTACCAGACAGACTACAAGGAAACAAAAATTGAAATACCGAGGCGACTGCAACAGCTTAAGCGCGCATTATAAGTGGGTTCAACGGGGCTCGATATACAAAGAACTAGATATGAGGCGCAAATCCAAGTTGCCAAGGACAATACAACATGTCCGTTCTACAAATTAAGCTATTCGTAGCGGACCGACAAATTGTTTTGACGGTTCATGGGAAATAGCACAGTAACCATTTAGTAAGGCCACCCAGCAACAAACTAATAATAACCAGCGGCTTTCGGTGAATAATATTTACTGTCAAATGCGCATAACCGCATTCAATGACACCCGGATGCTCAATGAGAATTCACCGGCTGACGCTAAGCTAGTCTGTAAATCCAACATGGGCTGTTGGTTAGAATAAATCTGACAATCAGTCGGGAAATAGGAAGGGGCTTTTCAGTGGCAAGAGGGTGGCACAACGTCCAAGACCAAGAAGCATGTTCTAAGCAAAATCGAACGAGAGGTTTCTATGTCGTTGATCTCGATTAGCGACTTCACAGAACAAAGGTTCCCTTAAAATCCCTTAGGTACAAGAAAAGTTCACCTGGCCAGTGGGAGTAACATAACCTACTCGCATTCATGAAGACTACAAACTATCCAGTGCAAAACATTATAGCAAACCTTCTAGTCATATGCCGTCTTTGGTGGGTTGACACTGTAAACGCAAGAAAACAATATCAAGGCTGATAAAAGCAGGGGGCTTGTTGGAGTAGCTTAATTAGGCTATTGAAGTCATTTTTTTCTGCGCTAATGCTCAAGTGGATGGTACTACGGATACTTATTAATAATTCTTGAAATGCTACCCAAGAACTGTTAATCCGCTATGGAATAGTGCAGACACGATAACCAAATCAAAAAACATCCCGATAGAAGCAGACCGACGACCACGAAGGCAGCTGAGTTTGCGATTAGATGCGGACAAAGACTGGAAGCAATATGTCATGGTCTGGTTCTTTGTATCGAACAATTCTCAAAATATTGTACACCAGTATGTAATAAGTTAATGGGACCGATATAAGCTACTCAACAGAGCAAATACGCGTTCTACCTTTTGCGTTGGATGAATTCGAAGTTTCTCTCGATTCAAGTCTGGCTAACTCTATTCATCTAGTTGAAAGGAAGGTAACTGCAGCCTCATCGAAGATGCAGTTGAAGTAAATGCATAATCACTATGGCAAAACTTGACTAAGGTACATTGATAATGCGGCGGCCAACCAGAAAAGTATAAAGTGTGAGGTATGCCGGGGCTCAGACCCTTTGAATGTAGGCAGCCACGAGGACATGAGACCCAAGTGGCGAGCACACAGAAAAGTCGACTTGCCATTAATGCCTTTATTCATACAAGGGCCTACTCATTTTCAGTCTGCCTTATCTTGGCGTTCGGATTCACAAGGCGAATGTTTAGCTCCTTTGCCCTTTCCACGATCTTAACACGGTTCTTCTTCGCAATTGTCCTAGCGATTACGCCAGCGTGAGTTCTGTGCTGCATCAGAAGAACTTCCAATTCCTAAAGGTAAGTCAAAATTTACACCACCCTTACCTTAACGTTATGAACTAGAATGTGCTTGAAGCCATCAGGGTGGATGTGACGGGTCCGCTCGGCAGAGCCATAACCGATCTTTGGCATGCGCATCTGCCCCTTGAAGCGCCGGCGCACCCGATTGTCGATACCTTTCGGCTTGCGCCATTTCACACCAAGACGCATGTACCGATCATTGTGATGCCTACGAAACTTCTTGGTATGCTTCTTAACGATCTTCGGGTGGTGTAAGGGCCTGAGAGCCATGCTAAAAAAGGAACCAACTAGGTGGTAAAGTAGAAAAAACGCGAATCGGCCAGGCAGTCAGACAAGGACACTCACATGTAGAAAACCTAAGTGCGCGCGAAGACCCACTTAAACAAACAATCACACATGTTCGCCTTGGCTTGACATATTTTTATAAAAACTGTCCTAAAACCCACAAGGCCAGATTCCAGTGTCAGTAATATTATCAACACTTTGAGTTACTTATCGGTCGAACTAGAAAACTCTTAATTCCGTCCATGACCCTGTTAATTCCTTCTAACCTTGAATCAGTCACGCTGTCAGTAGCTCGTTGGGATTAAACCTGGTTCATGGATATTCGTATGTGTTCTTGTTATAAAAATCACCTTACTGTGCTTTTATCGTTCTAATTCTGGACATGTATACGTTTATATTGCTAAACAGAAATGGAACATGGCAGATTAACTTTCTCAAGTTGATCGTATTTATCGAAGGATTCTTATAGCATTCGTCTGAATAACTGTGGAAATTTTTAGACTTCAGATCAAAGGCTGCCATTACGTGTGTTTCAAGCCTGAAAAGATACCGAAACCAGTTATTTTCCAAGGCGACTCAATGGCTGAATGCGCCACTAGCAGGATCTAAGCTACACGAATATGTCATCCATCACTCCTCACGTAGCTTGAGTTACGGCCAAAGCTGCCCGCTGAGGGGACATTTTTCTTATAATTTCGACCTTTCTGACATTAAA